TTCTATAAGCAGCCCATGGATTTCACCTGCATTTAGAGTGTTAAGACCTTTTAATTTTAGCTTAATAGTCTGTAAGAACATCTTGCAGTGGTTTTTTAATTAATTCAGAGCTTTTAACCTGTTTGTAGCATAGGGATTCCTGTTCCTTAAGCTAATGCATCGCCTCTACACCAAGTCGTAAAAGGAGAAAAAAAATATAAAAGGTTTTCCTGCTCATTGAAGATGATTATAGATTCCATTTATAGTTTATTTTATATGCCAAGTAATTTTTAATACCTTGTGTCTAAAAACCTAGTCCCAGCTCTGCAAAGTGGGCTTAGTGCCATTTTGCAAAGAAAAAGGCTGCGAGAAGGGAGGCACAGATTCAGGATTCCGCATTTGGGGCAGAGTTTAAACTCCGAATCATCTATTCTATAGTTCACAGGCTCTGGCCTCCAAGGTACGTTCTGTTTTGTAGGTGAGTTATTTTTACTTCCTTTAGGAAAAAAAAAATCTAGGTATGGTAGCACATATCTATAATCCCAGTACTCAAAGGTAAGGTAGGACAATCCAGAGTTCGAGGCCAGCTGGAGCTATAAAACTCTGTCTTAAACACAATAATATTAGCCAGGCATAGGTGGCTTATACTTGTAATCCTGGCTACTCAGGAAGCTGAGATCTGAGGATTGCAGTTTGAAGCTATCCCAGGCAGCATGGTCCATGAGACTTTTATCTCCAATTAACCATCAAAAAACCAGAAGTAGAGCTGTGACTCAAGTGTAAAGTGCTAGCCTTGAACAGAATAGCCCAGGCTTTGAGTTCAAGCTCCAGGACCAGCACAAAAAAAAAAAAGAAAAAGAAAAAGTGGGAAAATCCCTTTCCAACTATTGCTCCCAGTTCGAGCATGGAATACAGAACTTAAAATCTTCAAAATGGCTAACACTTCCAGCAGTCCGTAGGGAATTTATGTGTAATGTAAAAGCTCCGTGAAGTCACCGCATGGGCTCTCCAAGCTGAAGGCCTGGGTGAATGAATAAGCATGTCTGGGCTCTTTCCAGCAGCTCTGCCTCTGGGCCAAGTTTGTTGCTCTGTTGACAACCATTGGCAGAACAAGAGCTCGCTTCAGAGAAAACAGGGATTACTATTCTGCTGTGGCACTCTTCACTTGTGGAGCTCTTTCCATTTCATATGTAGCCTTCCCTTCCACAAACATTGGTTTTGCATCCAGCAGACATGAGTGGAGGACCTGCCATGTGCCAGCTCTCCGCTGAATTATCTCACTTATGATGTACACTCACGGCTTCCTCTCCCTATATGACTATGTGCTTGGTGAATGGGTAGTTTAGCTCTGGGGGTAACATACTAGCCAGCCAGTCTGCCTTCTCTGACCCTTACTTGTTGGGTGGGCTGGTTACTTTATTTCTCTGAGCATCTGATCAACTGTAAGATGGTAATCTACGCTTCTTGCCCTGGAGCCTGGAGGCCAAAAAGGAATGTCTAAACAGGAAGTGTCGGTGAAACCGGGGTCAGACCATCTTGATGGGGCTGGTAGGATTTTGAGCCTTTCAGGCACATGTAGTTGTTTGCTCATTGCCTGCAGTTGTCTGGGGTTCAAGGAGTGGAAGTTGCCTAGGCGGCAGCTGCAATCCTGAATGCTTCCTGCTACCTTCATGGCCTCCTCCCTCCTATTTGAAATGTTCTGTCCAGGTGGCTTTTCTAGTGATTTTCCTGCGATTTTTTTCATGTGTTAAATCTATAGATCAACTTTAGAGAAGCGTTATCTCAATACTGTTGATCTTTCCACTCATGAAAATGTTATATCTGCACATTTCTTTAGGTCACTGATTTTCTCTAAGTTTCTTACTACATTTGGTCAAATGAGAAATTGGTCTTCTACTACAGTGGCTACAGTGTTTAGCAGATGGCTGTATTATGGTTGAAAAATGTAGCTAGTTTATGCACCCATACTCACTCTCTCTCTCTCTCTCTCTCTCTCTCTCTCTCGTGTGTGTGTGTGTGTGTGTGTGTGTGTGTGTGTTGGGTAGGGTTATGGGTAGAGTTAGGATTCAGTATAGGATTAGGATTAAATCAGGATTAGGGTTAGTGTTAGGGTTAAGGGTAAGATTATGTTTAGTGTTTGGGTTAGGTGTAGGAATAAGGCTAGAAATAGGGTTTTGGTTAGTAGTTAGGGTAGCGTTACTATTTGGGTTAGTGGTATGGTTTGGTTAAGGGTATGATAGAGTTAGGGGTTAGAATTAGGATAGGAGAGGTTTGGGATAAGGTATAGTTTGGGTTAGGAATAGGGATAGATAGGGTAGGGGTTAGTATTTGGTTTAGGGGTAGGGTTTTGTTAAGGGTAGGGATAGAATGAGGGATTGGGATACTAGAGGATTTGGGTTAGCAGTCAGGTTAGGTGTAAGGTTAGGGTTTGGGGATGGTTTTGGTTAGGGTCTGGGTTAGGGTTAAGGTTATTATTTCAATTAGGGTTGAGCTCCACCATGAGTAATTTTGTCATTTCTTATTTGTATGGACCTTATTGGTTTTTCATTCTAGATTTCTAATGTGTGCATACCTTGTTGTGTGCCTTTTTCTTCGGTGATTTGTCAGTGTCCAGAACTTCCCCCTCTTCTGTGTCCTCTCTAGGAGGAAAACAGGAACCTAAAGCAAAGGGGAAACCTCTGACACAGACCCTGAGCACTGGTTCTTTCCTTCCTCCAACTTCGTCCAAGCATCTTCCTCATGCTTCCACCGCAGCGTGTTTTGTGTAAGCCTCAGCATCTTCTATCTCTTCCTCCCTGACCTCATTACCTCAACATTGTCTTTGACTGTGAGCTCTTTAACTCATGCTTTAAAAAAAATTTTTTTTTTTGGCGGGCGTGGGGCTTGAACTCTGGGCCTGGGCGCTGTCCCTGCGCTCTTCAGCTCAAGGCGAGCACTTTACCGCTTGAGCCACAGTGCCACTTCTGTTTTTCTGGTGGTTTATTGGAGATAAGAGTCTCACAGACTTTCCTACCTGGGCTGACTTTGAACTGTGATCCTCAGATCTCAGCCTCCTGAGTAACTAGGATTACAGGCATGAGCCACCAGCACCAGGCTAAAAAAAATTTTTTTTTTATAGATACTTACCCTTTCGTGGAGCCTGGCATACAGTTGGAGATAACTAGTTGTATATTGGGTGAATGTTGTTTTTCTAGGAAACTGACTCCCTACAAGATGAAGATCCATGCTCACAGTAGGTTTCTGGGTTTTCAGGCCTCATTGAGTTCTTGTCAAACCCCTTTTTCTCCCTTGTTGCTCTGATTTTTTTCCTCTGTCCATTCTGCAGCTGAGACAAATATCATAGTTGGTTAGGCTGCCATAGCCATCTCTGAGATGATAAGTACAAGAGAATGATGCCCTTACACCCTCTCCTGCCATCAAGAGAGTGAGAACTTTTCGTCTATAAGGCCTGTGAACCCAGCTCCTCAGTCAGTATCAAATATGCACATCGAACACCATTTAAATCCTTCCTGTAACCAGGCACTGGTGGCTTATGCCTGTAATCCTAGCTGCTCAGGGATCTGAGATCTGAGGATCCTGGTTCAAAGCCAGCTGGGCAGACAAATCCATGAGACTCTTCAGTTAACCAACAAAAAGCCAGAGCCAGACTCTGGTGGCTAATGCCTGTAATACTAGCTACTGGGGAAGCTGAGACCTGAGATTGAGGTTCAAAGCCAGCCTGGGCAAGAAAGTCCACGAGACTCTTCAACAAACCACCAGAAAGCTGGAAGTGGCACTGTGGCTCAAGTAGTAGAGCATTCACCTTGAACTGAAGAGTGCAGGGACAGCACCCAAGCCCAGAGTTCAAGCCAAATGACAAAAAAAAAAAAAAGCCAGAAATAGAGATGTGGCTTAAGTGGTAGAGCTCTAGCCTTGAATGAAAAAGTTAAGGGAGAATGAGAGGCCCTGAGTTCAAGCCCTACTATCAGCATCAAATAAAATAAAATAACAAAGTAAATAAATCCTTTTTTTAGTTCTTCCATTGCCAACATATGTAATAAGGTATATCATACCCTAGTTTTTATTGCTCTGTATCTGTGTCTCCTATTCTTAATAGTAATTACTGGGAATGTTTTTGTGTAATTTTTTTTAATCAGTCGTGGGTCTTGAACTCAAGGCCTGGGTACTGTCCCTGAGCTTTTTTGCTCAAGGCTGGAGCTTTTTACTATTTTGAGCTACAATTCCACTTTTGGTTTTCTAGTGGTTAATTGAAGATAACAGTCTCACAGACTTTCTTAACCCAGGCTAGTTTCAAACCATAATCTTCAGATCTCAGCTTCCTAAGTAGTTAGGATTACAGATTTGAGCCACCAGTGCCTGGCTTGTCTAATGCTTGGTCTACAGTGATTGGATATGAAAAATACAGATTGTATTTACCTGGGCCTCAGCCTATAGACTGGATTAGAGTCGTAGTATGAAGCAAGAAGAACAAGGTTGATCTGATGGACTGGACACTAAAGGGGTTTTATTGTCAATCAGAAATATAGTCTCTACCAAATCCTTGCAAGATGGTTCCAGCTTCAAGTCTCTTGAAAACTGTGTCTGGAGTGAGTTATGTCTGACACTTAACCATTCTCTTCGTTGAGCTCAGTCACATCAGGAGATGTGGCAGTTGGAGTGGGCTCAAGGTTGTTGTGGGGGAAGGAATAACAGGCCCTGAGCTGTAGCTGAAAGGAACAGGGATGGCAGAGGAAGCAGGTAAGGAAGGGATCCAGGCACAGGAACTTGTGTGAGGACAGGCTCAGAGATTTGTGTCTGCACATCCAGGCTTCCCCAGTCTGGGCTGGGGACTGTTGGGACTTTGTGGAAACTTTCTCCAGTGTTCAGTGAATTGGCCCCAGGAACACAAGGCAGAGAGGAAGTGTCTTCTATAAATGTGGAGCGCTGGAGACAGCTGTGGTCTTGTCTGATGACCCCTGGTGTAGACCTGGGCAGGAATGCTGCTGATACCTCCCCCCCCCCCCCCATCTTTTGTCCTTCAGGAGAAGATTGGCTGGCGGAAAGATGCGTTGCACCTTCTGGTGTTCACAACAGATGATGTGCCCCACATCGCACTGGATGGAAAACTAGGAGGGCTGGTGCAGCCCCACGATGGCCAGTGCCACTTGAATGAGGCCAATGAATACACTGCATCCAACCAGATGGTGAGGTCCTGGCTGGGCTGTTGTGACCCCTACATCTGGTCCATTCCACTGACACCTCTCTTGGCCCTCAGCACTCACTGACTTTTGGTTTCATTCTTGGGAATGAGCGTTCTTCATTATTCTGTCTTCTCTAACTGCGTTTCCAGAACTCCTTGTTGACTTAGAACATTTCTCTCTCCCTCTCCTCTCCCCTTCTCCCTCTCCCTCTCTCCCTCTCCCCTTCTCCCTCTCCCTCTCCCTCTCTCCTTCTCCCTCTCTCCCTATCTCCCTCTCTCCCTCTCCCTATCTCCTTCTCTCCTTCTGTCTGTCTGTCTGTCTCTCACACACATACACACACACAGACAGACAGACAGACTCTCTCTCTCTCTCTCTCTCTCTCTCTCTCTCTCTCTCTCTCTCTCTCTCTCTCTTGTTACAGGCTAAGACTTCCTGACTCCCAGTAGTGGCTCCCTGAAGCAGTGACTGCTTTATATCAGGTGTGGATGGCAGGAGTGGGAGGCCCCAGGAACCTTTCACTCCTAGTAGTCCATGACTGTGACCATTGAATTCAAAAAGAAAGACCAGTCCATGACCTCCTACATACTTATCATCTAGCCTCACCAACTACCAAAGTCCTGCCACACTAACTCAACAAACTTTATCAGGAATATAGACCCTCTTCTGTCCCAAATTCATTCAGTATCTAGTCAAAGAGAAGTTCTCAATTTTCTTTATTGGAAAACCACATTGTCTCTAGCTTTCAACTCATCAAGCCAGGGGGGAGTCTGGAGGAAGGTCTCATGCTATTGGGCCTCAGCTGACTGTGACCCCCTGAACTAGTCAGTAGCCCTTAAAATCCTTAGGGACCCCATAAAGCTGCCTCCCATCTCCTCTCTCCTTCCTTGCTCACAGTTCATGCCCCAATTTTCAGTCCAGAGAGCAACAGCCTCCTCTTCCCAGTCTGAGCCATGAACAGGAATAGGGGATGGAAACTGACAGCTGAAAACCATTGGTATAGGAAAAGAAGAATAGGATAAAAGCCATAGGAAAGAGGAAGGGTAACAGGTGCTGGATGACAGTAGTAGGATATGGTCGTCATCCTCCCTGAGCCCTCATTTCCGCATCCTTGCTGAACGGACAGACACATAGACCAGAGGCCTCGGTATTCATTCCTCTCTCTGGGGTGTGTGGTAAGCACTTGAGGGCCATTTCTGTGAGGGTCTTTCCACACAGTCCTTTAGTTCAAGAACTGCTAATGGAGTTTGGTTATTATTGAAGGGATCTACCAAGCCACCTAAGAGAAATCTTACCTTCTTCTTGGCAAGTACTGAGCAGGTGGGCATGTGTTAGAGCAGGTGCTAGTATCTCAATGTATTAGAAGTGTTACATCCTTGATATTTGCCTTGGCCCTAGGACTACCCATCCCTTGCCCTTCTTGGAGAGAAGTTGGCAGAGAATAACATCAATCTCATCTTTGCTGTGACAAAAAACCACTATATGCTCTACAAGGTATGCCTGGAGGAACAGAGGGAGGCTGGTGGCAGATTGTGGGGACCCTGTTAACTGGCCACTAAGATAAATGGGAGGCTAGCTGGGTGGTGGGAGGTGAGGATTATTCACATCCCTGCTCTGGGTGGGAGAGTGAGATTGTACTGTCTGGTTATAGTAGAAAAGAACACTAAGAAAACTTAAATGCTCACATAGCTAACACATGGTATCTAATCTGGTTGTGAGAAAACCCTTGAAAGGCCTATGAATTCCCATTTCAGATGGTGAAATGAAAACACAGGGATACACTCTAATAGGGAAGGAAAATTTTTAATGAAATACAAAAAAAAGAAACTGAGGCATCTGGGCATTTGCACAGGGAATCCAAGATTCCAGGTTAATGTCTTGTTACAGAGGATGGGAAACCAGGGGTGGCTGGGGACAAGAGACCCCAATTAAAGAGCCAATGCCCTAAAGAATAGAAAGGTCTGTATGAGCCTGTTCCATGTAACTTTTCATCTCGTGGACCAGCATCTTTGGTTCCCCTGTGAACGTGTTGTCTGGCAATCACAGATGAGTTGAACACTAAGGGCTCACAGAGCTAAGTGTGAAGCTTTACATTGCAAGTGTAGGGACTCTGTCCACCAAAGAACCTTTTTGTCTGATGTTTTCTGAGGTTCCTACCCGAGGTCATCATTGGTGAACTCACGTCTTCCTGAGTTCTTGATCCATTTGACCTGAGGAAAATGGAGACAATTGGCTCTCTTCTCTTTGTTTGGTGGAACATGTTAGGCTGAAGCTCATCACACATTTTGCAAACTACATTTTTAGAGAAACCAATTACACATGTTATGACGGGCTTCCAGAAATTTCATGAGGGCAGTCCTTCTTGGGTTTAGCCATCCATCTTCAAACTCATATGCCTCTGGCTTGGGAGGGGCCCAGGCACGCCAGGCAGGCTGAGGACAGTGACTGCTTCTGGCCCTGTCTATAGCCTGGCTTAGAAGCTGCATTAATGGAGGGAGACAGGCTGTACTTCAAGGCTGCTTGCTTGTCCCAGGACTGCTTGGCAGTATCCAGAGGTTCTCAGGAGGATGCTCTTCCTATCTCAAGAGGGGAATACATGAGACCTCTGAGAAGGTAGTCCCTGCTCCTGGAGGACAGTCTGAGTCGTCCTGTAGCTGGATCTGGGATTACCTAGAATGATGTCTAGAAAATCACCCAGGGCAGTGAGTGCACCTTAGAGGATGGACTGTGAGAAGATGTCCATTGCACACCTAGGGCTTTCCACTTGGGGACAAGTCTTGCCAACTGTACTCTCCCATTCACAGGGGCTGGGTGTTCCAGGGCCCGCTGCGACAGCTCTTCCTCATACCAGTTCTTCTCGCCTCTCCTGGAGGCATCTTCTCCCATGGGGTGCCACCCCAGAGGGTGGTACAATATAGTGCTGGCCCTTAGGCTTCTCATTCATAGACCACAGAGTTCGTTTTGGTAGAATGGAAGGCAACATGGACCAGTTTCTTACCTTTTTTTTTTTTTTTTTTCTTCAAGAATTTTACCGCTCTGATACCTGGAACCACAGTGGAGATTTTACATGGAGACTCCAAAAATATCATTCAACTGATTATCAATGCATACAGTGTAAGTCATTGGCTTTGTCACCTACTGCTTTCTCTTTCCTGCCCTCTTCCAGCGACGCTCTGGGTGCGATTGTAAGGTTGGGTAGGCAGAGAACTGGGTTTGTGGATTAGGCTGTTTTATCACCTTCACTTTGGGGAAACCCTAAAGCCTGAGGTGTGGTGAGCCCTGTACTCCATCTCTCTAAGCCTTTGTGTCTTAAGGGCAAATAGATGGACTGTAGGGAGGCAAGTTTGCCCTTCTGTCTCGGTTCCATATTACCCCTATCTTCTGTTGTTGGTCAGACCCTCCTCTCACGAATGCTGATACTCCTCATTTCTTTCTGGAACTTTCTGCTGAGAGGAACAAGCGCCTTCCTTCTCCTTTCCTACTCTTTCTCCCCCGCTTCCCCCAACCCGAAGATCCTCTGATCTTTAAATTCTCACCAGATCCAATGGCCATCTCAGAGCCCTGCATTCAGTGAGACAGAAATTTCCAAATTAGCTTTTACTTCAGTGGTTTTCTGACTCTTCCGTAAGGAATTTGGTTTAAGTCTCAGCCATTATGCTTGGTTATAAGGGGGCCATCTGAGAAGGGGGTTTGGGTTTGAGAAGTGTGTGTTTGAGGGGGTCAGGCCTGCCACGGTTGCCTTGTCCTGAGGGCTGCTTCCTCCATACTTACTGTAAGCCTCTTGGGGTTCAAGCTCTGGGCACTGAACTTAAAGGAATCAGTGAGAAAGCTGTCCCCCCGCCCCCTGCCTAGCACTGTGTACCCCTCCTTCTGAGGAGCTCATAGCCCAGCATCCCCATAGAATCAGAGGGGTTGAGGTAGGTTGCTGCCGCACCTGCTCTCACAGGCAGGGATGGCCATGCCATGTCTCCTGCTGAGTCAGGTCTTTGGGGAAGACATGGCTGAGGAGTGGTCTCATCTGGGCTATGCTGGGTGGTGTGAGGAGGTCCTCGGCTTCCACAGGAGCCGTTTTCCAGCATGTCTATCCTCAGCCAGTTCCTGTTTCAGACCCTGCCAGTCCTCTGTGGGAGACCCCAGGTCCTCTGCTCCATTATGATAAAGAGGGTATAATGGCACCCAGCTCCATAGAGCTGGCTCGATGTATTTGCTAGAAATAGGGCAACTCTGCTCATTGGCATTCTGTGTGACCCAGTGGTCCTGTTTATCTGTGCTCATGTGTGGGACCAGTCTAAACCAAAGCCCAATGGGATCTCATAAATGCTTGGAAGTGGTCTTTCTCCGAGATTCATGCCTTAGCCTTGAGCAGGAAATCCAAGGACTTTGGGGGTCAGGAAACAGGAGAAGAGTGATGAACCCTCTCTGCCATTGAGGAGTTGGGATCTAGGATGAGTGGAGAAAGTGATCTTTCACCAGGTGGGAGCTGTATTATGTTAAGAATCTGGGGTGAATCTCCTGAGAAATTGTGAGGCTCTAATACTAGTACTTGACTCTATAAGTCAAACTGGTTTCTGTAGAGAACATGTTAGGAAAGTAAGTGTATGATTTATGAATGAGCGTTGGGAACTATACCTTGAAAATATTTGCAGGATTATTAGGTCATTATCCACACTAAGTATTCAGATTTAGTGGGAAGAGGTTTATTTTTTTTAAAAAGCCTTATTCAGGCTTGATGAATGTACAACAAAACATAAAGATTTAAATTGTAGCTGGGCAGCAGTGGTTCAGACCTGTAATCCTAGCTGAGATCGGGAAGCTGAGATCTGAGGATCATGGTTCAAAGCCACCCCAGACAGGAAAATCCGTGAGCTCGTATCTCCTATTAACCACCAAAAGCCAGAAATGAGGCTGTGGCTCAAATGGTAAGAGTGCTAGCTTTGAGCAAAAAGGCTCAGTGACAGTGCCCTGTCCCTGAGTTCAAGTCCTTGGACTAGACCATAAAAGGAAAAGAGGAGGAGGAGGAGGGAAGAAGAGGAGAAGAGAAGGGGAGGGGGGAGGGAAAAGAGAGGGGATAAGGAGGTGATAGATGATGATGATCTGAACTCTGGGTTTCAAATTTCTTACACTTTTCCTGGCTTCAGGCCTACATGGGCCTCTGCTGAGCAAGGTGAGCTTTGCCAGCAGAAGTGGCTCTGGTTAACCTTCTACCTGCTACCTGGCCTGCATCCCTCACAGCTCTGCATTCTGATTACCTTCCAGTTGGAGTGGTTTCTTGGTAGATTTCCTATGAGTCATGCAACAAACACATGACTAAGTGTGGGTGTTGATGTCTTACCTCCCCTGGAGTGCTGGCAGTGGAACCAGGAGAATATTCTGGAAAGATTTGTGGTTGGTTGGAGAATGTGTAACAGTTGAAATGGCTGTGGTATTTGGCGCAGCTCAGGAGGGAGCACATGGAAAGAGACTGTGCTTCAAATCTTGTATAATTTGTCTGTTCTCTATATATCCTTCATCATGTGGAATTGCTAACTTCCTGGACTTAGGCTCTTTTTTTTTTTTTTTTTTTATTGCTGTGTCAGATTGTCCAGTTTGAGAACTTACCAAATTCTCCCAAGGGTGTCTGGCTGGGTGGAGCTTTACTCAGCGTAGGTACTGCTGAGAGATTTTTCTTTCAGGGCTCAGACTCAGGGGTCTGGGTCCACGCACACAGATGCTAGCATCTCCTTGCATTGACAAGGGGACGGAGGGCCCAGGCAGAAATCACAGGGGCCTCTTTTCAAAGTGGGAGGGAGCAGGATGAGCTGGAAACCACTGGCTTTGCATATGGAAGGTGATGTCAGAGCCTGGGGTGTGTGCTCCCTCTGCAGAGCACATGTTTCTCTTTTGGGTGTTGCCATAAAGTCTGCTCCACCCGCTCCACAGCTGGCCCAACTTAGAGCAATTGCAGATGTGACCTAACCTGACCAGGGATGTAATAGAATAGCCTTTAAAAACTTCTAGCATTGTTGACATCGAGTCCTTTTCTTAGGATGGGGTGGGGGGTAAAAAAAATAACAACATTTTCGGGGATAAATCAGGTAGGAATTTATTGGAATTTCAGAGTCAGGCATAAATATCTTCATGCATAAGAACTGATGTGTTTTCCTCTGCTCTATCTTACATTTCATTCATTCAACAAGTATATCCTAAAGATCTAATGTGCTGTTATGCCATGGCAATAGAGCAGTGAATGAACCAGCCTGACCCTCCAGGAGCTCGTGGTCTTTTGGGGGAGGCTGACTGACCATTATAGCCAGCGTGCAACTTGGTGAAGTGCACTTTTGAAAGTCACAGCCCATTCTGCACATTTCTTTTTTTTTGGGTCCGGTCGTGGGGCCTGAACTCTGGGCCTGGGCACTTCAGCTCTTCAGCTCAAGGATAGCGCTCTACCACTTGAGCCATAGCGCCACTTCCGGCTTTTTTCTTTTTGCTTATGTGGTGCTGAGGAATCGAACCCAGGGCCTCGAGCATGCAAGGCAAGTGCTCTACCACTGAGCCACCTTCCCAGCCCTCACAGCCCATTCTGAGGAAAGAAGTGCGTGCACACTTACAGTGGTTATAGTGAGGCCTGGAGGGGAGGGAGAGGCCTGCTGCTTGTCCTGCCTACTTGGGCAGCTGAGCTTTGATTTCTGCTCTCATAAATGAGAAGTTTGAATGCTGGTGGTTCACACCTATAATCCTAGCTACTCAGGAGGCTGAAATCAGAGGGTTGTAGTTCAGGGCCAACCTGGGCAGAAAAAATCCTTGAGACTCGTATCTTCAGTAAACTACTCAAAAAAAGCTGGAAGTGGCACTGTGGTTCAAGTGGTGAAGCTCTAGCCATGAAGAACCTCAGAGACAATGTCTGGGTCCTGAGTTCAAACCCCAGGACCAGCACAATAAGTAAATTAATGAGACGTTTAAAGTGAATGAGCCTCATTTGTACTAGGTAGAGAGTTTATGATTCCAGAAACTCTGTGGGGAACAGAAATAACAGCACTAACTTCAGATCGGAACAGGCTGGAGGCGGAATGTCAGACACCCTGAGTAGAGCATAGGATGCACTTTTTCTCCTATTATCATTAGCAATAGGTGGGATTGAATCCCCACCCCTACCCCAGTGCTCTTTCTCACCCAGCCATATCCTCCATGAATGCTTCTCAGGTGGTGGCTTTGCCTGGTCCTCATGGGGAAGTATCATTCTCTCCCTCTTTTGTTCCTGGACAGTAGAACCTCATATTTCAAGTGACTGTTCTCGATCTTTCACATAACTCCAATCTACCTAACCCTTTTATGGCATATTGTCCTCTCCGTCTTCTAATTTAAATAAATAAAATTTACCTCTTCTTTTAAAAATTGGCCTTCTACTATATCTCAGTCCATTAGCCTAATTTGTTAAAACTTATGTCCTTCTATGTATCTATTCCATCCACAAGAGCTTGTGCTAAGTCCTAGAGAGATACATGATAGCATCCACAATGCAGCCGGAAGACAGAGCTGAAAATAACTAATCACATTCAGTAGGAGAGTGCTGTGTGTGTGTGTCGAGTGACATTTCTGTGACCTTTGACCAGTTAAGGCTGGCATTTTCAAGAGGAAGCGGATATGAGGGATAGTATTTTTAGAGTTGATGAAGCACTTAGACAACTTGTTGCCGAGAGAGACCTTTTTTTTTTTTTTTGCAGAGAGTATTTTCAACAAGCTGTTAATTTGTTAGGGGGAAAAAAAAACACTGTGCATCCATCATTTATGTTTAACACCAAATGCTCAGCAAAAATAAAGAAAGAAAGAAAAAAGAGAGAGAAAAGAACGCCTATGAAAGCAAGAGGCAATTCAGCCTACTTTTCTGTTTTCTATAGCTATGCTGTGGTGGGAATCTGAGCTTGAGTCCATGTGTCTCTCAGTATTTGTATCTCCAGTTGAACTGGAAGTCTAGCATAAACAGAGTTTAAATAATGTTGCAGTAAATATGACCCCTAGGAAATAAGCCAATTACTTCATTTGGCCCCAGTCTTCAAAGCATCAGCTTCCTTAGAAAATTTCAAGGGCATTTTGGAAAATTATTGTGAATTATTGAAAATGATTGTGAGACAGAGTCTTGCTGTATAGTTCAAGCTGACCTCAAGCTTATGATCCTCCTGATGCATTTCTGTTATAATCTTATGGGACTACTAGTCATTGTACATGTGGTCCATTGGGACTCAAGTGTCTTTATAACTGTAAATAGAATAGTGCAATGTATAAGCCTTTGTGTCTGTCTTCCTTTGGGCAATGTGATGTTCATCACTGGCATTGCATAAAGTTGTATTGTGTTCATTGTTGTTATAAGATGCTCAAATATGCCAACACACTGTAATTTAATTTAAATCTGTTCCACTACTGATAGGCTTTTGGTTAGTTTCCAGTCTCTAGCTATTACAAACTATGATGGCCATAGCATCCTCATCCATGTCTTTTGGTGTCATATACATTCCTGCTACACATATCCTCAAGTGAGTGCCAGGTATAAAGTTAGTCTAAGCCTCAGAAGATACCATCTAATGGTTTGCTACAAGACTGGACCCACTTATACCCCAATTAGTAATTAAGAGTCCCTGGTCAAAGAGGGAACAGTTTACACTTATCAAAAGGAGAGAAATGTACATATCACCTGATTTGGAAGAAATAGCTATAGTGTCAAAGTTTGTAGAGACCATAAGCTTTATAGACCACGATAATGACAATGCACCTCGTGAAGGTTAAAAATGTGTTTGTGACTTTAACTGTCACCATCCCACAATACTGTAAAATTTGTGAAATTTATGTAATCACTTAATCTCAATTTAAAAAAATATTTTAAAAAAGTCCCTGGTCTATGCAGAAGGTTGAGATCTGAGGATCATGGCTCATTCAGCAGGACAGGAAAGTCAGTGAGACTTTTATCTCCAATTAACCAAAAGAAAACCAGAAGTGGTGTTGTGGCTTACTTAAAGTGATAGAGCACTAACCTTGAGCACAAAAGCTCAGGGAGAGCACCCAGTTCAAGCCCTAAGACCACCACCACCAACAGCAAGAGTCCCTGGTGCTCTGTATCCTTTCCAATACATGGCATTCTCTCCCCCTCTCTTTCTCTCTCTTTCCCTCTCTCTCCCTCTCCTTCTCTCTCACCTTCTCTCTCCCTTTCTTCTCTCTCTCTCGCTCTCTCTCTCTCTCTCTCTCTCTCTCTTCCCTCTTTCTCCCCTCTCCCTCTCCTTGTTCCAGTGGACCATTTTGACTTTGTTTTTGTTTCATTGAGAACATAGTCCACATGTAGTTTTCACATAAAGTAGTTTCAAACTTGTGAATGTGTACCTCACCTGATAGGGTCAAGCTTACATGTAAAGAGTAATGGGGTTTTTCCTGGAAAGATGAGCTACTGAACTGGCCTTGCAGGATGTTAAGAAGCCAGAGGGGAGAGAGAAGAGCCACTGAACAAAGGAATGTTGTCCTGTTTTTTCCCCTCATATTTGGGGTATGCAAGGATGGCGGGGGAGAGGGGGGAGTGTGGCCATGGCTGTGAGTGTTGATAGAAATGAGAAGCAGAGATAGTAGGAGAAAAACAAAGGAGGCAGTAACAATGTTTGACAAGAAATGTACTCATTAGCTTACTCACGTAACTGTAACCCTCTGTACAGCATCTTTACAGTAAAAAAAATGAGAAGCAGAAGGCAGAGCAAAACCCCTTGAAGAAGCAGAATGTGTAATTTTAGCAGATACACCCTTTCAGCCTGTCTGAGCCTATAGAGATCTTGAGCCAGGTCTGCCAAAATGGTATGTGGGAGGAGAGAGGAGAGAAAGATGGAGAAGCCCAGGGGACCATACCCCTGGCTCTTCCTTGGCTTATGCCTTCTGAGTTAGAAGCCACATGAACATCAGAAGACAATATGGGGTATACCTCAGCTGTAGTCTTTTTTTTGGGGGGGGGGTCCGGTCTTGGGGCCTGAACTCTGGGCCTGGGCACTGTCCCTCAGCTCTTCAGCTCAAGGCTAGTGCTCTACCACTTGAGCCACAGCGCCACTTCTGGCTTTTTTCTTTTTGCTTATGTGGTGCTGAGGAATCGAACCCAGGGCCTCATACATGCAAGGCAAGCGCTCTACCGCTGAGCCACCTTCCCAGCCCCTCAGCTGTAGTCTTTACTGATTGATTTGGGCTTCATTTTCCCCCTCTGTTCAGAGTATCCGGTCTAAAGTGGAGCTGTCTGTCTGGGACCAGCCAGAAGACCTTAATCTCTTCTTCACTGCTACCTGCCAAGATGGTGTATCCTACCCAGGCCAGAGGAAATGTGAAGGTCTGAAGATTGGAGACACGGTAAGTACTTGAACCCAATTTATGTAAGTTCTTATTAGCATTGGTCATCACACAGGGTGATACCTGTGATCCTAGCTACTGAGGAGGCTGATATCTGAGGATAGTGATTTGAGGACTGAGTAGACAAGTCAGAGAAACTCCTGTCTTCAAAAGGCCAGACTGGAGAAGATCTGACTGAAGTGGTAGAGTGCTGGCAGTAAGCAACCAATCGGAACTAGAGCACAAATTGAATTCCGACTGTGAAACCATAAAAAAATAAAAAGAACTAGGTACTGGTAACTCATACCTGTAACACTAGCTACTCAGGGGACTGAGATTTGAGGATCTACGGTCAAAGCCAGCCTGGGCAGAGAAATCTTACCTCCAGTTAACCAGCAAAAAGCCAGAAGTAGAGTTGTGGCTTAAGTGGTAGAACAACCACCTTAAGCATATAAAAACAAGTGATAGCCAGGTGTCAGTGGCTCATGCTTATAATCTAGCTACTCAGGAGGCTGAGATCTGAGTATCCTGGTTCAAAGCCAGCCTGGGCAGGAAAGTCCATGAGACTCTTATCTCCAAAAAACCACCAGAAAACTGGAAGTGGCGCTGTGGCTCATGTGGTAGAGCACTCACCTGGAGCTGAAGAGTTTAGGGACAGGGCCCAGGCCCCAAGTTCAAGCCCCACAACTGACAAAAAAAACAAAAACAAGTGAGAATGCAAATCATTGAGTTCAAGCCCTAGTACCAGCACACACACACACACACTCTCTCTCTCTCTCTCTCTCTCTCTCTCTCTCTCTCTCTCTCTCTCTCTCTCTCTCTCTCTCTCCATGGTTTGGTCATGGACAGAAGCCTTTACAGAAGGGAGCAGCTTGCTGAGGGCTTCTCTGCCCTTGCCACACCCAGTTTACACAGTCACTGGCTTTCATGAAGACAGAGGCTGCTCATGGGCAGCCTGAAGTTTGGAGCTGTGAAACTGGGTCTTTCCACTCCACACCAGGTCACTCACTAACCCTAGCCTTCCTGTCTCAGGGAGATAGCACTAGTCGCTGGGACCATGCAGTGTACCCAGTAGGAGTGCACTGCTCTTTTTTTGCATTTCTTATCATCGCTCTGCGAGGTAGCCAGCTGTCTCCATTTTAATACGTGAAAAACTCAGGTCCAGCAGGGATCCTGAGCTACCAGGCAGAGGTTCTGCTGCCAGGGAACCACAGGTCCAAGGATACAACCACCTAGGCCACCACCCAAGCCTTCCCCTTAGAGAAATAAGAGCCTTGCCACTTTATAAGGGCATCCTTGTGTACAGCTTTTGTTTTGCTGGGATACCTGAGAAAATTAGGAAGACGTTGTCCACAAATGAGGAAGAAGTTTCCCAGCAGTGACCAGTCTGCTGTGCTGGGGTGGTTTTCAGAGCCTTTGAAACACTAGCAGAGAAGCAGGCCATTTTTCCTGCCGCAGCTGCCTTTGCCAGCTCCTCATGGGGTCTCATGGTCCAGTGGAAATAGCAGCAAGTCCCACAAAAGCCTCCATGCTGGCTCTTTGCGTCTTCTCACTGTCCCAGTATTGTCTCATTGTCCAGGGACCATGGTCACGAGGGCCCTGGTGCTGCAGTGAGAGCTCTGGGCTTTGTTTCCTGTGGATGAGAACAGGCTGGCACAGGGCCATGGCCAGTCTGCTCATCTGAGCTGAATGCCCTGGTGTATATAAGGGTTAGGCTATGCCCACCATGAGGCCAAGCTCTCTGCAAGGCCTTGGAAGCATTCAAGGGGGAGTGTGAAGAACTGGCTACACATAGTTTGTGGGGCTCAGTGTAAAATGAAGATGGAGAGTTGTGTTAAAAAATAATGAAGACTTTCAAGAACCTGAGAGGAAGCTCAGGCCCTGTTGAACAGGCTTCCTTGGGGTATAGTTAGAAACCTGGCCCTGGAGCTGGGCACCAGACGCTCATACCTGAAATCCTAGCTACTCAGGAGACTGAGATGTGAGGATTGAGGTTCAAATCCAGCCTACCCAGGAAAGTCTGTGAGATTCTTATCTCCAGTTAATCACAGAAAAATCCAGAAATGATGTGGTTCCGGTGGTAGAGCACTAGCCTTGAGCAAAAGAAGCTCAGGGACACTGACTAGCCCTGAGTTCAAGCCCCAGGACCAGCACACAAAAAAGAGGGCCTGTCCTGGACTCCCTTTAAGCTGAAAGAAGGGCACGTCCACTCCCTCCAGCTGTTGGAGGAAGAAGGTTGTAGAAAGTAAACTCCAAAGAGTTTACCAGCTGTGCTGCTGGTATGTATGCACGTCTGTCCCCACACCTGCCTTTCAGAACTTACCAGTAACTGTGTTGAAATCCACTCTTGTCTGGAAAATGCTCATGTGCCAGATAACACGATTGTCTACAGTATGAGGATGAGGCAGCCAAGCCAGTGAGCAAAGTACACATGCAAATGAATCTACCTCGCACAGGATGACTGGTGTCAAGCTGCAGGAGCTCCAAGGAAGAGCCTGGCATCCTGGAGGAATGCTGTTTTGAGCTGAGGCATAGAAGAAAGGGTGAGGAAGGGAGAGTCTGCCCATTGATGGGCAGAGCTGCAGGGCGCGTCTGCTAGGTGTGAAGCGTGTTGCCCTCTGCAGGTAAATGAAAAGCAGCTGAGGATGATGGCCGAGCAGCTAAGAAGGACTGTTGGGGACAGAGAGAGGCTAGATTGGGCCACTCTGGTAAAACTCATATGCCAAGATAAGGGATGTAACCAGTCTGGTGGACGGGTTCCATCCTGGATGCCATGAATTAGGAGGGCTGAGAATAAGTCAGAGAATGGTAAGGGTCAACCAGTGTACAGATCCCTAGGGAGGGGCCAGGGGAAGGAAGGGTTCAGCTGTCAGAGGATGCCTCCAGATCTGGCCTGGGGACAGAGGCCAGGACATAGTTCACGGAGGAGGACAGCTGGGTTACATGGATCTCACTTCCTTATCATCATAGCTACCTGCTGAGGTGATGGAGGAAACAGGCAGCATCTGACTGTCACATCCACCGTAAGCAGTGGTTTGGTGCCCGCCCTGTGTTCTCTAGATTAAGATCTATCCAGCAAGAAGTAGGAGAGGTGGAGGGTAAATGGCAAGGATATCCTCAAAGAGAAATCTTGCATGGATAAAATCCAGGAACTCCAATTCCAGTTAGGTCCTTTTCTTCAGCGTTTTGGATATTACTCAAATTTCCTCCTCTGCTCCAATACCAACATGGCTGGCTGAATGTACCCAGCCTCTGGGAGTCAGTATTCCTATTAACTGGCTTTGACAAATCAGTATGCCAGGGACTAGCCGGGTAGCCTGCACTAATGCCCAGTACAAAGGGCCCAGTGAGCCCTTCCCACGGCACCTCCCCGTATCCTTCCTGTTCTTCTGTGTACTCGGTGCCTACCCCGCAGCTTTGTTTCATTGAGATCTGAGCAAACTTGGCATCTATGTAGGCCTGAGGTTGGTAGCTTTGGTGGGGGCTGGGCAGCCCTTTTGAAAGGGTGGGTCAGAACAACAACCCCCCTGGGGAGGGCCAGAGCATCCCAGAGAGGTTCAGTGGTGAGTCGGGGTAGGATGGCAACTGCACCTGTGACCTTCCTGTGGGACTGGGGGGGGGGTGTCCAGGAACCAGGGGACCCTGAGTATCCCTGTTGTGCTGGAGTCCTCAGTCACTGGGGACAGAAGGAACGAAGCTGCATTCAAATCCAGTGGCCTCTCGGCCTCTCTGGATTATTCCCTAATCCAGAAGGGAATGCAGCTGTGAAAGGTGCTTACTTTGCTGTTCCTGTGTCTAGCAGAAGCTGAGACCCAGTGGCTGAAAACAGCCTTGCTCTGGTTATCAGACAGCTGTTAGGAGGTCAGGCTGTGTGAGGCCAGACAGATAGCTCTTTAATTGGACCAAAGCCTTGGGTGAGGAGGCCCCTGGGACCAACTTGGAAGCCAGGCTGACATTGGGAAGTTTCCACTTCCCAGGTGATGCCAGTACCAGCTTCAGAAGCTCTGAGCATTTCTACTTTGTCCAGCAATACAACAGGTTGGCAAACCTCAAGAGATGCAGCTCTCCTTATTTTCTCCCTTGATGCAGGCCAGTTTGTGGTTTGTCTGGGGATGGCACTCATGCATGGACACTCCCCACAGTCTCTCAAGATTTAAATGCCTCTGGCTCTTGATCCAGCTCATTCCTCTGTAGATTATTGCATCTCTGACCTGCCGATGCCTGTGTGGGGAAGAAGCTCTTTACTGAGCAAGTCCATCAAGTTGTAGCTCTAGGAAGTAGCAGCCTCAAGCAAATCACTGTTCTGCACTGGACCTAGATGGGGATGGCGGGAGATGACGTCAGCCTTTGAGGAGAGGCTCTGTTCCCCTCTGCATTTTCTTAAAAATTATTGGATTGTTGTTGTGGTTTTTTTCCTTTTTTTTTGTTTCTTTTCCTTTCCTTTCCTTTCCTTTCCTTTTCTTCTCTTCTCTTTTCCTTTCCTTTTCTTTTCTGAGACAACCCAAACTGGCCTCGAAACTGTGATCCTCTTGCTTCAGCCTCCTGCATAGATTGCCCAAGGCATGTACCACACCACACCTATATTGCCCCCTCCCCCAGCCTTTGTTGTTGTTGTTTTGTTGTTGCTGGTTCTAGAGCTTGAGCTCAGGGTCTAGGCACTGTCCCTTGGCTTTTTCATTCAAGACTGGTACTCTGCCATTTCAGTAGTAGCTTCTCTTCCAGCTTTTTGGTGGTTATTTAGAGAGATTTTCTTATAGGTTGTCTTGAACCATGATTCTCAGATCTCAGCCTCCTGAGTAGTTTAGGATTACAGGCCTGAGCTGCTGGCACCTGGCTCCCTCTGCATTTTTGATGGCTCCACAGATGATTTGGTCAGGCTCCACCCCCTTCCCATCTACAGGCTCACATCATTCCTAGCCCAAGCTTTGGGGATGCCTCTGGCCACCACTTTCAAAAGTCACCACCAAGTAGTACCTGCAATACACAGGTGACCCCCCCCCCCCGCCCCCTGTGCCCAGATAAGGACATGAGCATTCATCCATGTCCCCATCCTGGAATATGACATACTAAAGGCACAGGCCCACTTCTAGGTGAGCTGCATGTAAGCGCGGCCAAGCTCACAATCCTTTCACCCCATCCCACCCCGCCATCTCCCTGGTGAAATAAAGATGCCTCCTTCTGGAGCATTGACACACTTGCGTGTGGCAGTGCCAGCACAGTGCCAGTGCAAAGTAGGCACTTGGCAGCTGCTAAAACCAAAAATGTTGTCATCAACAGGTATCCATGCCAAGTGGGTCCCCACCTCATTTCATTTCTTTGAGGGTCTCCCTGGACTTCAGGGCTTTGGAATTTAGCCCTGAATTTGTTTTTCTGAATCTCTTCCCTTTACCTCACCCTCCCCACTCCACATGGAGATGGCAGGTGGGCGTGGCTGTCTAGAGTGTCTTGGTTCTCCCTAGTGTCTCCTGGGTTTGGGCTTCTGGTCTTTGGCTTCAGCTCACCCATGCAGAGCACCTGTGTGAGGTGTCAATGACGAGTCCCAGTGACTGTTGTCAAGACCTCTAAGACTGTGGCTTAGTGCCAGGCATGACTTTCTCCAGGACCCAAGGCAACCTGTGAGAAGCGCTCAAGTTTGCAGCACTTCCTCAGTTGTTTTATGAAAAGTCTGCACCGCTGTGACATGTTTCTTCAGACAGTGACTCTCCTTTCAGTCCTGGGGCCATGGCTGATTGGGCAGGATGCAGCTTAGAGCCACTTCCAGAGGGAGCACTGGGACTTGGATGGGGGCGGGGCGGGGGGGTAGAGAGGGTGTCATGCATCCCTTTTTCAGCATGGAAACAAGTCCCTCCATGGAGGAAGATACTGCAACCCTCATGTCTCATGCCTGGTACTGCACCATTCTCCTGCATCTAGTACCATGCCTGGCACAGTCAGGGTCCAGTAAATGTTTTTTTGGATGAATGGTCTTTAAACAAATTTTAAATGTGCACATGTAGATAGGTAGGTAGTAGTTATCCTTGGGCTTACTATGTAGCCCATAGGTGTAACTAACACATGCCTCAGCATAGCATAGTGTCAGCATAGCACGCAGTTCTGAATTCAAATCCTAGTGCCCCGCACTCCCCCCCGACCCCGGCACCGCCACACACACAAGGCAAAGAGCAATCCTGTCTAGTGTTTCTGTGTGAACGTGTGAATATACTCTGTTCCCCCTTGTGCCACCCCAGGGGTTCTTTTCCGTGTAGTAGAGGGGTGGGATGCCCAGAAATAACTTGTGGGTGGTCTCAGAGGCCCTGGTCTGCCATGTCCATGATGGCCCTTCTTTCCTTCTGTCCAGGCATCTTTTGAGGTGTCAGTGGAGGCCCGGAGCTGCCCTAGCAGACACACAGAGCACAAGTTCGCCCTGCGGCCCGTGGGGTTCCGGGACAGCCTGCAGGTGGCGGTCACCTACAGCTGCACGTGTGGCTGCAGTGCGGGGCTGGAGCCCGACAGCATCAGGTGCAGCGGGAACGGCACTTACGTCTGCGGCCTGTGTGAGTGCAACCCCAGCCACCTGGGCACCAGGTGTGAGTGCCAGGAAGGAGAGAACCAGAGCGGGTACCAGAACCTGTGCCGGGAGGCTGAGGGCAAGCCGCTGTGTAGCGGGCGCGGGGAATGCAGCTGCAACCAGTGCTCCTGCTTTGAGAGCGAGTTCGGGAGGATCTACGGGCCCTTCTGCGAGTGTGACAGCTTCTCCTGTGCCAGGAACAAGGGCGTCCTCTGCTCAGGTAGGCGCCTCGGCCAGCGCTTTTGCTCTGAGCCAGCCCCAGGTCAAGGGGCTGTTCACATTCTTTGGGATAGGCACAGTGAGCGTCAGCGCCCCAGCTGCCCTGGAGAAGACCCAGGACGAGCCAGGCCATCTGCAGCACCAGGGCGGGCACTTGTATGTGGCTGCTAATGGAGAGGACTTAGAGGTACAGGGGAGGACTCCCAGAGTTCACATAAGACCTGCCTGGACAACACAAAGCTAAAGCTTTGCTTGCGACAACATGTCATGTTGAGAGCAGTACCTCTCCTTCCATGGAAGACACCAGTGCTAGGGCTGCACCGGGGTAGGTGAGCAGGGGAGGCCCTCTGGAGCAGACCTGGCATGAGGCATGTTTGAGTTACACCCATGGGAGTTCCATTACAGTGTGTTCAAAATTACCATTGCCTGGGAAAGGGGGAGATGTGTGAATGCCACAGAGCAAGGCAGGTGGAAACATGAGGATTCCTTGCGCCAGCCATTGCCACGGAGCCCCTCTCTTTTGCATCAGAGCGATGAGAACTTGGTTGTAGCTGGATGGGTTTGTCTGGGGTCACATGGGCGGTGCAGCGGGCAGGCCTGGGCCTCACTCCCTAACACCACTTCTGCTGTGGGAACTTGGGAACTTAGGAGTAGAGGTGGTGTGAGAAATGAGAGACTGAGGGAAGCGTTTGGCATGAGAGGATTCTTGTGTGTGGGGGGGAGGGCAGTGCCACACCCCCCTGGGGAGCTGCAGTGATGGTCTGCAGGCGGTGTAATTCTCCAGGCTTTGCCTAAGCAACTGCAGCATGGTGGATGGAGTTTCTAGTTCCCTTGTTGACCACCATAAGAACTCCCTAAGTCCAGCTATTGCTCTTTTAGCAGTTCGTGTTCCTTTTGTTTTGTTGTGTGTGTATGTATGTGTGTTGGCTCTAGAGCTTAAGTTCAGGATTTAGGGCCTCAGCACTGTTCCTGAGCTTTTTATGCTCCAGGTTAACACTCTGCCACTTGAGCTACAGCTTCACTCTGGCTTTTTGGTGGTGAATTGGAGTTAAGAGTGTCATGGACTTCCTTCCCTCGATTTGAATGACTTTAAACCACGATCCTCTGATCTCAGCCTCCTAAGTAGCTAGGGTTACAGGTATGAGCACTTGTACCGGGCTGTTGGACTCTCCAACTCACCATCTTCCTGCCTGAGCTTCCGAAGTACTGGAATTATAGGCATGTACCATAAAACCTAACTAGTACTTTTCTTTCTCTTTTTTTGACAGTTTTGGGGCTTGAACTCTGGTCCTTGTGTTTGCTAGGTAGATGGCTCTTAACACTGAGCTATGCCTCAAGCCCTGATTTTTTTGCTCGTTATTTTTGAGATGGGGTCTTGCTTCCTGACTGGACACGTGCCCAGGGACAATCCACCCATGTTAAGTGTCTGGTAACTAGGGTATCAGGTGCCCACCACTACATCCAGCTTTTCATTAAGAGTGTGTCTCAAGAACATTTTTCTGTCCATTCTGGCCTTGAACCTATCCCCATAATCTTAGCTTTCTAAGTTGCTAGGATTACAGGCCTGCCTGAGCCACTGGAGACCAGCCATACTTTTCTTTTAAAGAGCTATTAGCAAACATCTCTTTCCCTTCAGGAGAGCCAGAAATAACCCCTAGAAATATCTTTCCCCACAAGGCTGTGCAGTCATTGTTGCCTGGGAATAGATTTGCCTGTGTAAATTCCATCCCCACAATCTATCAGCCTAAGACTTTTGGTTCTTCCTTGGGAGTGTATATTTCCCATATCTAAAAGTGGTCCAAGACCACCTGCATCATCTGTGAGCAGCTCACAGAACTTGGTAGTTGCTGGGTGATTGGTAGAGGTATGAGTGGCCTTCAAAGGAAATACTTGTCATTATGGAACCAGGAATATTCTGAGTGAAGACATACTTTTTGATTCAACCAAAGAACCCACAGTTCAAGTTAATCTTGTATTTCAGCATTCTGCCAAACTGTATCCAAAAGTCCTTGGGTGTTGGCTTTTTCTTTTCTCTTCACCTATACAACCTGTGGTATCAGGAAACTTGGGTCATGGGGCTGAAAAATTGGAGGCTTCCAGGTGAACGATTGCTTCAGTTCCCTTACTTTCCTGGGACTGCTGAGACAGAATGTCACCATCCTTCCTTACCCCACTGGAAAAGCTATCCTCATTCTTGAAAGAAAAGCTGTGGAGTACAGGACGGCTGACGGATGTGTGGTCTGTGTGTGTGTGCTGTCTTTCTCCTTGGTGAGCAGGATTGATGGGGACCATCTGGAAAACCGGTCACAAGGCCCTTTTCTCCCTCACTGGTTCACATGTATTCCCTTCCCCCCCTCAAAAAAAATAAAACCTGCTTGGTCCACAGAAAGACGTTTCCAATGAACTGTAAAGTTATTCTTAAGTCTAGAAAGTTCTGAAGAATAGAAAGATTAAAATTTATCCATAATCTTATCACTCATATTTCAAGTGGTTTCTAGCTCTCCTTTTAAACTTTTTCCTAAGTTAGCATGTGTGTATTTGCATGGACTTTTCTGTCTTGCTTCTCTCCCTCTCTTCCCCTCCTGTAATACTATATCCAGAGGGACACTTGAACTCTATGAGTTAATGATACCTTGACTGGAACATTTTTACTCTGCTTTCATTGTCCCTTCAGCTACAATCTTCTAACCCTTTACTTTAAAAGTTACATCTAGTGGAAATGTACAGCTATCCAAGTCTTCTGGAGAGGAACAAAAAAAGGTCTTTGATGAGGTCATCGCTGTGTTTGCTCATTGAAGAAGGACTTAAAACTAAGCCTGACTCCAGACAGGAATTGATGACACATATTCCTTCAGAGTCCTTAATGTCCTCCCGCCTCATACTTCCTGGCCTCTTAAACTCCTGGCTCCTTCTGGTGGTGGTTGTTGAATGTGTGGTGAGGAGTTCCACCAGTCCCTAAGTACTCATGGTTAGCGGCTCTCCTGCTGCGGGTCTGGGCACCCTGGTTTGGAGCACTTGACTTGCTGTTCCATTTGGGGTTTTCATGATAGAGAAGCTATTTCCCAACCCCCCTCTGCTCCCACACATGCTGACGAAGGTGCACAGGCTGCCAAGCTCAGCATTCTCTGGTGGCGCCTCTCCCTTCTTCCCCCCTGCAGCCTGTGGTAGAAGGGAATCGTGTGGTTGTGGCCTGTCTTCTGAGTAGGAGCTGCGGGGTGCATATGAAGTAGCAGCTGGGGCAGAGCCAGGGCTAGGATCAGTGAAGACACCCGGAGAAGCTCCTTCATGTCTCTTGTGCCCTCAAGGAGAAGCTTTGCATCTTGCTCCCTACTGAGAGACAGAACTGGACAAATGCAGGAGGCCACAGGTTTAGAGCAGGTTTTCTATGATGAAAATGAGCAGTGTAGCAAATCAGACCCAGGTCTGGAAGCAGTTGAACAGCTCTCATTACTTTTGTGACATCCCATCCTAGGAATGCTTGTGTACTCTGGGTGCTCCCTCCCCCACTGCTTTCTAGAAATATTACAATTTAGAGAATGGTCCATCTGTCCATTGTCTATTGCTGGGTGTGCAAGGTGGACTTCATTGGGCCAGTTTGGGAGATTCTGTTCTTTTGAGTCTTTCTGAAGTGTCGACTCTTCAGAACTCCTCCGGCTATGGGAAATAGTCATCGTCTGTTCAGTTGTTTTAATGTATTGGAAGAGTCTTGCTCACACTTTGTTGTTCTTGGTTGGTTTCTGTACCCAAATCATGCGTCTCCTGGGATCCAAGTCATTCTCTTGTGGTACAAATTAGGATCCAGCTCTGCGTGTAGCATTAATGCTCTGAAGCACATTGAAATAATTTTCCAACTGTTATCCTGACTTCTGGGTTTCATAGAAGGAGAAAATTTAGATCAAATAGGATATGGAATTTTAGTCTCATCTGTAAGGACTCTTCCCCCCCCCCCCCCCCCCCCCCCAGTACATTATCTAAGTAAGTTTCTCTTTAAAGCATGGAAAAGTGAGGTGTGACCCCAGTGCACTTTCTGCTAGTAGGCTAACGCCTTCTTCCAAGAAGAGGTCCTGGGTCCATGCTGACAAAATTCTGTTAAACTTCTACAGTTAAGCTGTACACCAGTGGCTCATGCATTCTTGGGATCACAGTGTGTGATACAGAGGCTCACAATTTGAGAATAGACGAGACAGAATAGTTTTCAAGAACCACTTCCTGATCCATGGCTGGTGTGGTAGACATGTCTGATATCCTGACTATATGAGAGGCCACGCTTAAGAGCATCAGTGTTCCAGGTCAGCCAGGCCTAGCCAGAAGAGGCCCATGAAACTCCATGCTAGTGTACTGTCCCATTCCTGAAACAGCAGGGGAGAGAGGAAACAAAAAGGATTGTGATCCAGGCATGCACCCTGCAGGAAGCCAGACTATATCTCTGAAAAGATCTGGAAGTATGGATGAACAGTAGAGCACCAGCCTAGCCAGCTCCAGTGTCAACAAAAACAGTAAGGTACTCCTAATAGTAAGGCCCAGTGCTGGGTTTCTTAGATCTCCCCAAGTGAAATACCCTAGCATCACTTTCCAGATATGTTGAAATGCACTTCTCAATTCATGAAGCTTAAGTAGAGTTTTCCAGAAGAGCCTTGAAAGAAGCTTTCTACCAAGAAAGACAGGAAGGCAAGACAGTAAGAGGAGCCATGTGCAAAGGGGCAGGGATGGAAATTCTTGTCAAAAAGTTGTAGATCATAAAATTTTTATAGATCGGAGGCTAAAAGTAGGAGACCAGATGAGGAATAAGGCTAGGCAGTAAGTTGTTCAGCATGATATAATTTTAAAAGCAAAGAAAGGGTTAATCCAGTTCCGTGGAGGATAGATGTGTAGAGCTCAGCATGCCCCAGGAGAAGGCTTCCCCAGTGCTCTCCTCCAGCTGCATGTACTTTTTGTTTGTTTGTTGTGGGTATTGAATCCAGGGCCTGGATGCTATCCCTGAGCTTCTTTTGCTTAAGGCTA